TGAAGTTGAGCAACTTGATGTAAAGACCGCATTTCTTTATGGTGATCTTGAAGAAGAAATTTACATGGAGCAACCGGAAGGTTTTGTAGAGAAAGGGAAAGGGAAATTTGTTTACAAATTGAAGAAAAGTTTGTATGGTCTCAAGCAAACTCTGCGGCAATGGTACAAAAAATTTGACTTTTCACGATGAATAATAATTTTTCTAAAACCACTTCAGACCATTGTGTGTTTGTGAAAAATTTTCCAGATGGTAAATTTATTATTCTTTTGCTTTATGTTGATGACATGCTAATTATGGGTCAAGATTCTATCATGATTAACAGGTTGAAATTGGAGTTGAACAAGTCATTTGCTATGAAAGATTTGGGATCGGCAAAGCAAATACTTGGTATGAAAATTGTTCGTGATCGCAAAGAGGAGCTGATTTGGTTGTCTCAAGAAAGCTACATTGAGAAAGTTCTTGAGAGGTTCAACATGGATAAAGCAAAGCAGGTTGGTTGTCCACTTGTGGGTCACTTCAAGCTTAGTTCAAATCAATGTCCTACAAGTGAGAAAGACAAGGAAGAGATGCAAAAAATTCCTTATGCTTCAGCAGTTGGTTCTTTAATGTACGCCATGGTTTGTACAAGGCTAGATATTGCTCACATTGTTAGTGTGGTGAGTCATTTTCTCTCTAATCCGGGTAAAGAACATTGGGCAGCGGTAAAATGGATTTTGAGATATCTTCGAGGGACTTCGAAGGTGTGCTTGTGTTTTGGAGATGGTAAGCCGATGCTTGATGGGTTCACATATTCTAACATAGCCGGTGATGTTGATTCTAGGAAATCTACTTCGGGGTATTTGATGACATTTGTAGGGGGAGCTGTGGCATGGTAATCTAAATTATAAAAATGTGTTGCTCTCTCAACTATCGAAGCAAAATTTATTGCCATTATGGAAGCTTGCAAAGAAGAGTTATGGTTGAAGAAATTTTTGTAAGAGTTGGGTTTGAAGCAAGAAAGGTATTTGCTTTATTGTGATAGTCAAAGTGCTATTCACTCGAATAAAAATTTTAATTTTCATTCGAGATCGAAACACATTGATGTAAGGTACCATTGGATTCGTGATGTGTTAGATTCGAAATTGTTGCAACTCGAAAAGGTTCACACAGATGATAATATTTCGGATATGTTTACTAAGACTTTGTCGAGGGACAAATATTTAAAGTGTCGAACTTTGGCAGGTATGGTTAATGTCTCCACCTAAGTCGATAGAGGGAGAATTGTTGGGGTATATCTCCTTATCGGAGTATAGGACCCAATTGGTTTATTAAAAGAAGTTTGGTTTGGTGTTGGTTATAATATATTTTAATATATTATACCTAACTTTTAGAGGCCTAATTCAATTTGGTAACAATTAGGGTTTGATTACGAAATCCAAGAATCAATAATATATATATATATTTGGTATTGTTTGGTATTTTCAAAAAAAAGGGTGCTATGCGGCTACTCCATTATTTTGTTTTCTGAAGGTGTCTAACCATGGTACATTATCTATTTGGTGGAATCAAATTGGGTGAGTCAGTGCTATTTTTTGACCGACCTTTGGAAGTTTTCTTTGCTTTGGTTTTTTGGTTCTTTGAAGCACTGTCAGTGTGCTTATTCGGCTATTTTGGTAGAGTTGATTTGGGTTATTATTTTGGGTCTTCTATAATTCTGTTTCGAAGACATTTTGGTGAGGTCTTTTCTCTTGTTTATTTGTAATTATTTGAAATTAACCTAAGGGTGATTTGTGAGACCATTCGTGTCTCGTTTGTAATCGTTTGGAAACTTTTTGATTGATAGTGGAATCAGATTTCGATCCTGTGAATGTACCTCACATTGAGGGAACCACGTAAAATTCTTGTGTTGCTTTTGATTTAATTTTTCCGCATTAGTTTTTATTCCCATTGATTGATTTACTTATGGAGAATCATATATTTTCCCTAACAGTTTACAATAGTCTCTTCATTTTTAATCAAAATAACTATTATTGTTCTCACAATTTTTAAAATGCCATTAACATTTCACTGTAATAATATTTTTGTAATTTTTTTATTTAAAATATTTTCTTTATGTTTGCAAAATAAAAAAAATAAAAAAATTCCCAAAATTCAGGGAGAGCACGTGACCCCCCTGGTCCCTTACTCCCTTCGCCATTGGCGCCGATGCATCTAAGTTAAAACAAACTATTCATCTAATATGGAAAAACAATGCAAACATGAATGATTACATTCATTCTAAACTAGTATTCCACCCGTGCTATGTACGGATTGTATTTACAATTATTCGTATATAAGTGAATTGTGATTTTTAATTTTTTTTTTTTGTTGCACACAAAAAAGGAATATAATAAATGCAACATATATTCAATCAAGTATTTTATGTTTGCTTTAATTCAAAATTTAAAAATAATGTACAGGCAAAATTTATAACTAAATTAAGGAAAACTTTATTCCTAATGACATTTTTTTATTTCTATATAATACTTAAAAAAATAAACCTTAAAAAGGTAGTTAATATAAATATTATACATTAAGTAAAAAAAATGTGTTTGGCAGTTATGCTTACATAAATTTATTATAGTTTTAATTTCAAATTTAAAATAAAAATAAATAAATAAAAACTATTTTAAAAGCATTTTATTTGGCTAGCATCAAATAGAATTTTCTTAGTAAAAAGGAAAGTTATAAAATTTTGTTGTAAATTTTTAAATGTCTATTGTTAAGCATTCTATTCTACTTACTTGTTTGTTTGCTTGCGTGCTTGCTTTAAGAGTTTTGATCTTTAATCTTTGCTCCTCATTCATTGTATTGTTTTATTTATTTTTCTTCTTCTTACTTGATTTTCCCATGATACTTCTATCATAGTGCATCTCCGAGTATATTAGTAAAAATATCATACACTTAAAATGCACAAAATTACAATATACAGAGAGGAAAAAAAAGAGTAAGTAATTGCCCAAAACTAAAACTACTTTAAGAAAAAATAAAAAAATAAAAACAAAAATGAAATTGTTTGAATAGAAAATGATTTATTTATTTATTTATTTTTAAAAATAAATTTTACAGAAAAAAAAAACTATATTAAAAAAAGCACAGAAATCAAACATAAAATATAATACAAAAAATAAATGAATTATAGGATTTTCAAGAAGTGAGACTCACAAACAAATTTAGTAGAATCTTGTCCATTCATATACTTTTTATATATGTTTTTTGTACTTTTAATCCCTAGAATGACATTGAAATAGTTTGCACTTTTTGCATTAGGTCCATCTAATAGTTTTAACAAACACAAAAGTAATAAATTTCAAAACACAAAACACAAACAATTGTGAGCCAAAGTATCAAAAAAAAAAATGAAAGAAACGTTCAATAATGATGTAAAAGCATACCTGATGTTTTAATTGGAAGTATAACCAGATAAATCGCTATAAAAGAAAAAGACTGTAAGATTTAATAATACATGTAACCATAATAATAATGCGGAATTAAACTTTACAGGATCTTGAATTCAATACAACTCAAGAATAAAACAAATATACCTTTGTCAGCCCCTAACTATTTCCACCGTTGGCCGTCACCCCCTCCGGTCGTCCCCTTCCTCAGCACAGTCCCTCCTTTCGTCGCCTCCCCTTCAGCCCCCTCTTATTGAATCGAAGCGCATCCCCACCCCGTCGCTCTTCGCTCACTCACCTTCCTCACCACCCTTGTAACCCCCCACTTCGCGACGCAACACCACTGCCACCACAGCTCCCACCCTTTCACGATCCTCAATCCACAGAGAGAGAGAGAGAGATGCATTGTGGAACTTAGATATGGAAAGAAGACTCATTCTCTTACCATTCGAACTACTAGTATCGAAAGAATTGCCTCAGTTCGAAACTCAACCATCGAACTAATGAATTTGGTTCGACCATCAACATCCGAAACCTCCTTTCGTTTGTGAACTGCCGCTATGGTCATCGCCTTCCTTTTCGTGACTGAAAGGAGAGAAAGAAAGAGATAGGAGCTCGAGTAGATGAGGTGGGGGTCGTGGTAGTGTCATCGGTGGGTGGAAGAAGGGGTAGGGATGGCGACTGGAAGTGCAAGAGAGGTGGTAACAGTGGTGCTATGTCACCGTCGGCGAGGTGGTTGCTGGTTAGGATTAGGATTTGAACATTGTTTGCTGGTGTGGAAGGTGTGTGTGGATTGAGAGGGTTGGAAAGTTGTGTATATGGCCGGAATAAAAATATGTATAATGAATAAATTTTATTTTTTTAAATGTTTGAATAAGAAGGACGTGGACAAAGACAATAACCTTGCTTGTTTTCACTTTTCAAAAAACACTTTTCAGAAAATTCTACTTTCTTATTTTCCGTATTTTTTTTGTTTTTATTGAATTTTTTTAATATTTTAAGCATTTTTTTTTACTTTTTAGACCCACCTAACATAAATACATCTCCAAAGTAAAAAAATTGTAAAAAATTTTTTTTAAAAATTCACTAAATACCAAAAATACAAAAAAAAAAACAATAATTCAGTACATTTTTTGTATTTTTATGTATTTATTATTTTTTTAAAATATTTTTTCATAAATTTTTACTTTTTAGATACATCTAAGTAAGATGCATATAAAAATATTTAAAATTTAAAAAATATTCACTAAAAATAAAAAAACATAAAAGTTAAAAAAATTAATTTTTAAAAAACTTAATCTAAAAAATTCAAACCAAACACACTGAATGAATGGTGTTCACAAATTGAAGCTCCCCAAATAGCGTGAATTAGGGGTGGTTTGGAATGTCCTAAATAAGTGCACTTTTTGACTTTTTATGAAATATGAGTTGGGTATGAGTTGAGTTTGAAGTGATGTGGTAGAGAGGTGATGTGACTTAAATAGGATAATGACTTTTTAACTTTTTATATTTTTTAATTTATGCCAAACAAGCTATTAATGTTTCAAAATTACCAAATAATCACTATGTAGGAGGAGATAATACGGGTTTTCGCAGTGGTTCCAACTTCTATCTTTTTAAGAGCTCTATACTATTCATCAAGTGTTTTCCTGGAAGTGTAGAGGTAGACAAATCAATGTATATGCAAACAATACATAATACAAACTAGTAAACAAAGCAATCAACACAAAGCTTTTCCTCACGAAACCTAGGGTTTCTTCAATTTAATGGCCACTAATACCATATCACTACTTCCAATTCCTTCTTCTTTTAGGAAATCCGACAATTTTCCATTACCTCATCCTCTGATTCTCAAACCAGACAACTCGCTAAGCTCTTTCATCGGAACCCATCTCTCAATTCAGCTCACCAACCCCTGGAATCGCCTTTCAAATCACCGCCGGTCAACTGTCGCAACGGTCTCGTTTAGCCTCCCAACTGCGTAAGTTCCACAATTCACTCACATACAAGTAGAAAATACGATATGGTTTTGTTGCTAATGGTGATTAATGTGGGTTTTTGTAGGAAACCAGAGAGGGGTTCTTCTGAAAAACTTCCAAAGTTAGTGTTATTTTATTTTGATAGTTATGATTATTATACTGTATTTGCTGCTTATGAATTAGTTTGTGATTGGTGATGTGGGGTTGGTGGTGGTGTTTAGATGGTCGGCGAGGGCTATAAAGTCGTTCGCGATGGCCGAGCTAGAAGCGAGGAAGCTCAAGTATCCAAATACTGGGACTGAAGCTCTTTTGATGGGTATCTTGGTTGAGGGTTAGTGATTTTTTATTTTTATTTATTGCATGTAAGGACATGGTTGCCACATATTTTTTCACATGATTTAGATATTTTAAGCAACTTGTGGAGATGTTACATATAATTTAAGGTTTAGGTCAATGTAATTTTCATGTTTCATGGTGCAGTTGTTTATCTTCAAATGTAGTTTGAGTACCAATTTTGCTTTGCCGGGCTTCATTGCCCGTGTGATGAACAGATCTAATTGTAGAAAGAATCAAAAGTTGCAGATAATTTTTTTTTTTTTTTTTTTTTTTTTTTTTTTTTTACTAATATTTCTTATTACTAATATTACTGATTAGTATTCCGGAAGCCTCTATAAAAGAGGGAATTCTTTTGACATTTTCAAATGAGAATGGGTGGTCCAATGTGATCCATTGTAGTAGTAGTAGTAGGTATTGGGAAGAGCTAATTTTTAGCCTAGCTTTTTGGTCCAATTTTTAGCCTAGCCTGGCTAAATTAGTTCTGTTTGGAAAGAAGTTTTATCTTTTTTTGGTTTGGCTATAATGGTTGTGAGAGAAAAAATGAAATGATTATGGTTTAGATTTGACATTTTGCCTTTTGGCTAAATTAGTCTATTTTGTCTTTTTGTGCTTATTTAGGCATTTTTAGCTCCTCCCAAACAAGCTTACAGGGATTGTTTGGTTGAAGTTACAGCATGCCACATTTTAGAGGCATCGATATTTGCTTTTCATTACTTTGTTCATATCATGTCTTTTGTTTCCTTGCAGGAACCAGTTTAGCTGCAAAATTTTTGAGGGCAAATGGAATTACCCTTTTCAAAGTGCGAGATGAAACTGTAAACTTACTTGGAAGGTCTGACTTGTATTTTTTCAGCCCCGAGCATCCTCCATTAACCGAACCAGCTCAGAGGGCTCTTGATTGGGCTGTTGATGAGAAACTGAAATCAGGTAGCATTTTTTCTTCTACTGGATGTGATGATCTCCAACTTCTTGCGTTGAAATTAGTGTATAATAGTATTATTATCAATTTGTTTTGAACTCTAATATTTCTCTAGGATTTCATATGAGTTATCTGAATTGAATACTGGCTTGTGCTATTCAGGAGGATTTAAAGCCCTGTAGGTTTGTAAGCCATAGTGTTATGATCTCAATTAGTACTCATATTCAACTTTTAGGTATCATGAAATAGGAAATTAAATGCATTACACATGAAATAATTGTTGTGTAAATACGAGATATATTTGGGTTGTCCAAGTTAATAAAAAACATAAATTTGTGTTTAAAGTATAAAGTGTGCTAGCATGAGGTTCTTACATAGATCCTAGGTAATTGACGTCCTCTAGATACATTATTTGTATTTACTCCCTGGTCACTGAATTTGCATAAACATATTTCATGTCCTTATTGAACATTTTGTCCTTTGCTGCTAAGAGGCTATAAAAGTTTCAAAGGGATTTTGTGGGGAGGGATGGGAAAAGAATTCAAGTGTCATTTAGTGAATTGGGATTCTGTTTAACCCCAGTCAAGGAAGGTGGTTTGGGTATGGAAAGTTTGGAGATCTTCATTGAGACCTTATTGTTGAAATGGCTTTAGAAGTTTTTTTGAGTGAATAGTGGTAGAGAAGGGTGGTGGATAGTGGTAGAGAAGGGTGGTGGCCTTGAAGTATGGATGTGACTGGGGGAAGTGGACATCTTAAGAGGTCAATTTGCCTTGTGGTATGGGACTACGAAAAGTTTGGTATTAGTTTGAGCAACACACTAGCATGACAGTTGGGGATTGTAGGAAAGTGAAGTTCTGGCTTCATCTAGAAGGGGGAAGAGAGGATGGTGAATATTTTCCCTTCAGCTTTTCGAGAAGCAGCAAACACGGAAGCTATAGTAGATGATAATTTATGAAGAGAGGAGCAACAAGTATTGGGATGTCTTGCTATGTAGGAGGTTACTCAATTGGGAGATGGTTGAGTTGATGGGGATATTCTAGTGATTGTATGATAGCATTGGGACAAGAGATGATTCGTGAGATGGAGGTTGACGAGTTCGGTGTTTCGAGGTGAATTCTTTTTATGAGGCTTTGAATGGGCAGCATAATATGTAACCCCCCAAAAAAAGAAAAGAATGGGCAGCGTAATTCCTCTATCTTGCAAAGAGCCATTTTTGGTAGAAGGACCCAAGGCAGCTTTTTTTTTTTTTATAAATAAACAAACTTTATTGAGAAAGCATCAAGGCGATGCAACGAATACAAAAACCAACTATAAGCTAGCCAGCAAGCTAAACCAAATAGAAGACCAACCGAAACAACTAACTAATCAAATCATCTACAAAAGTTAGCACAACCAGATCTACTGAAACCGTAATCCAACTATGTAACATAATAAGCAAATGCCGTTCCAGCCATGGAACCGATCGAGTCACACCCATAAAGATATGCCTATTTTGCTCCAACCAAATCAGCCACATCAAGCAATTGCCAGCAAACAACCAAGTCTTCTGACGTTTTTTCCCCACCCTTCCCCTAGCCCAACTCTGCAACACCTCCACCATTGAACCCGGTTGAACCCAAACCACAAAAAAATTGAAACAATGAACATCCAAAGGCATGAAGCAACCAAACAATGGATAAGCAAGTGATCCACTATTTCCGCATCTCCACAACACATGCAACACCAATTAACTAAAATATGACGCCGACGAATTAAGTTATCAATAGTCAAAATGCACCCTAAAGCCGCTGTCCACACAAACAAAGTGACTTTGGATGAACAACCCACCACCCAAACACTTTTCCACAAAAAAGGAGCTCCATCCCCTCTCACCAATGAATGATAGAAAGAGGACACCAAAAAAACCCCTTTGGACTTCGGGCAAGCCCACAACAAAGTATCCTCCCCCTCCCCCCTAAACCGAAGCCCATACAAAAAACCCAGCAAGTCTTCCAGTTGCCCAACTCCCAATCATGCACCTCATGACGCAACCCAACATTCCAAACTATGACTTGACCTTGCATAAACACATAAGATGCCACCCTCGCCTCCCCACTAGTAGCAATACAAAAAATAAAGGAAACCTCGCCTCCAAAGTCCTCCGCCCCACACCACCTATCCTTTCCAACACATATTAAAATCTTAACTTCAAATAACCCGTCTTGAACATCATGAATTAGTGTTGCATGTGCAAAGAGGATGGTGAATCGGTAAATCATCTTCTTATTTAGTGCCAAGTGGCAAAAGATCTTTGGACATTGGTGCTCTCTTGGTTTGCGGTGGAGTGGACATTTCCTTCTAGGTTATAGAGCTTCTTTAGAGTTGACTGGTGGCTAGAATTGAAAGAAGAAGAAGAAGAAAAAAAGAAGCTTTGGTCAATGATTCCATTACATCTTATGTAGATTATCTAGAGAGTAAAATTGAAGGTCTTCCGAGAGTTCCCCTTGTAAGAGTTTGGTTTGTTTTTTGTGTAGTTCGGATTAGGGGGTGTTAGCCTTTCTATCAATCAGTTTCTTGATTTTGTAGAGAGTGTATAGGGTTTGATCTTTATTTTCGTCGTCACTTTTGTCTGTGAGTTTGGCATTGATATTGGGTTTAATGTTATTTTACTCTTGCTCATCATTTTTTTAAAATGAAAAACATATTCAATCTTGCAACATGCATTAGTCAACTATGAGAACTTATTAGGGACAGACAGATGTCCAACAAACAAATTTAGCTTACAAGGAATCATAGATCTCCTAATAATTCTTACAAGGCTGAGTTATGAATGTTGTAGTTAGTTATGCACTCGAGGAAACAGTGAAATGTACAATATCCTTAAAAGTAAGTTAATAACTTAAAAAGTATGTGAATACTTCTCTGGCTGCAAGCCTTTGGTAAGCTTGCAGTTTTGTATGGTTACTACGGTGATTTTGAACAAATAAGGTGAACATGGAATGAAGTGCCCCTTGGAGATCAGGCAGTGAAAACCTCCAACCAATTTTCTCAATATTTATTGTTTGATGTTTCCCGCTGAGAAAATAACAATGCTTCAGGAGATTAACTTCTGGTTTTGTTTGGTAACTAATTGTGCCTAATTGAAAATGTTAAGGAAGCACCTAGCCATTTCTATACTCTCTTTTAGTTTTGGGTTGCCTTATCATATTCTGCATGATTTGGGTCTTGACAACCTTCAAATTCCACAGCTCTTGAATGCTGGCTGTACTCAGAATTAGCCTTGGTGTGCAAAATTTAAAGAATTTCGCTGCCTTTCTTATTCATTACATCATTGGCGCCATCGATATATTTGTTATGACTTTCATGTGAAATCAGGTGAAAATGGGGAAATAACTACAACTCATTTGCTTCTTGGGATTTGGTCGGAAAAAGAATCAGCAGGCCATAAAATAATGGCTGCCCTTGGTTTTGATGATGAAAAAGCTAAAGAGATTGCCAAATCTGTAAGTTATGTTCTGGGTTTGTCAAGCAATTAGCTTCCTCGACATAGCAATGACCGTATATTTGTTTTATGCAGATGAATGTGGATATAGTCTTGAGCTTTAAGTAGGGACTGGGAAAAGTTTTGGAGTGTTGTGACTTGCTTTGTTGCCTTGGGACCTTCACAGAACAGGTACTGAAAGATAAATGGTTTCTAGTGAAGTAATTGCCATCGAAGAAATTGTGAAATTTTTCTGCATGCAGTCATGTTCCATTTTTTCATCCTATTGAATGCTTCATTAGATGACTGGATTTCACAATTTTTTGTATAAACATTTATAAGTAGTTCGAAAACCCTTGATGGTAATTGCCAGTGGCAGTCGATTATCTAGCCAATGTGCTCAGGTCTCTTGCATGTTGCTTACTTTTTTTTTTTTGGTTTCATCTAAAAATTAAAAAAAATGATTGAATCTATGCTTTATACCTTTTAATGACCATAACATTCCAAATTTTGATATTATTATTATTATTTTTATTTCAAACTTGTTGAAGTGATTCTGTGATTCATGGGAATGACTTTTTAATTGCCTTCTGCAAATTTCTCACTGCAGTCATATTGTTTCAGATGTCTGGAAGCAGCAGGAAATCGTTTGAATGACGAACGAGTAGGCGGGACATTTGATAATGGAATTCATTTTGTTGTGTTTTCTTTAGTAGTTAAAAAGGAGCCTGTTTTATTTGCTTATTTTGTTTTTTCATGGCAGTTATGGATTGGGATAGGCATCTATTATGCTGATTGAAGTCATTTTAGGGTTATGGATGTAACAAGGTCTTTGGAGTTGGTGCAATTCAAAGTAGGAAACAAGTAACCAGTCAGTTGAGGAACTCTAATTCTTGTGTTCGAGAAGACAATGAATGACCCAGAAAGGGTAATGTTGTCGAGGAGAATAAAATTTTGTTAGAAATGTCATCGGACTAGAATTGGAAAAATTGCAAATCGGTGATACAGTGAAAAAATAATTGCACTATACACATGAAGAAATTGTACCGTTCACACAGAAAATTTAAATCACTGTGAAAATGCAAATATTTTTTTGATGTCCTAGTAATTTGCAATTTGCCCAATAGAATTAGCAGTAGCAGGATGACCAGGACCAATGGCCTGCCCGATCCAACCTAATATTATTAAGATGTAATGTTTGTCAAATCTGGATCGACTCGTGTTTGAGATTGGCTTTTTAAATGATTTTTTTACTTAAAAAAATAAAAAAAAAAAGTTTATATTTAGGTTTTATTCAATTAGATAGACTATGAAAGTAAAATTTTGAATTTTTTTTTCTTTCAGAAAGGACCCCAAAAAAAAGGGAGCAAAAAACAGTTGCCTGTTTTGGCCTATTTTTGTTTTTTGTTTTTTTTTTTTTGGAATTTTTACTTTTTAAATTCATTTACAAAAACCGATCTGAAAAATAAAAATATATATATAATTTTTTTAAAAAAAAGATCATTAAAGATATTAAATAAAAAAATGAATTTTTTAATTGTATTTTAAATGGTGGTGGCCTTAGAAATTTTAGTAGATAAGGTCATTCACAAAAATAGAAAAATAACAATTAAGTTTTCATTGTTAACCGATAACAAACTAAATTAAATATTTAAATCATAAATAGATTAAGTTTTTTAATATATTCATACTATTTGACAATTTAATTCAATGGAATTTCATATTTTGAACATGTTAAATTATAATATTATTGTCAGCGGTATCAAACAATTTTTTTTTTTTAGTTATATGTGACCAAGCAATCATTTAAATAAAATACAATGTCTTTAGATCTTGATCTCAAGAAGATCAATAATGGGGTCAATAAAATACAATATCAAACACACAATGTCTTTAGATGGGGTCAATAATTTTTTAATAGAGGTAAACATTGACTATTTTAATTTTTATCTTTTAAATTTTTTTTAAAGGTCCCTAGCAGCTTGATAGCGGCACCCTCAGGGAAATTGTAACACTTCCTCATCTCTCAAGCTTTGGCCACGTTGCAAAGGAAAATGTTGTAGGTAATGTTAATAGTCTCAGTACAATTTGTCAATTGATAATATATAGTATCTGACGAATCTATGGCAGTTACTTAATCTATTGGGCAATTGAAGTTATGGGTCAGACTTTGAGGGTGTGTTTAGTTTGATTTTGGGAGATAATTTTTAAAAAAGATTTTGGGGAGAGAGTTTAGAAAAATTTTTAGTTTGTTTGGTTGTATATTTTAAAAATAGTTTTAGAGTATGGGATAATTTGATATTTTGTTGTAATTGAGTAGATATATATGAGAGAAAAAAGTGATTGAGAAGGAGGAAAAATTATTGGGTGCAGATAGGGTACCATGTGGCATGCCACGTGATGCCTTCAACTAATCACAAATACTGTAGCCTCCCATGTTGTCTCACCATCACCCAACACATAAATGTAACCTCCACTCTCTTAACCAATGAGAAAAAAGAAAGGTACCACATGACACTTACCTTATTTGCACTCAAAAATTTCTCGAGAAGGAGAGAGGAGAGAGAGAAAAAGTGATTGATTGATGTGTAGGGGAGAGAAAGTGAATTTGAAATTTTTTTTCCAAAAAAATTAAAAAAAAAAATTTCAAAAAAATTTTCAAAATTTATTTCTCAAAAGCAAACCAAACAAAGCCTGAATCTCCATAACTTGTAAGCAAATTATTAAGAACTCATTGGTAGTGTCTTTTTCAAGAGTTTTACGACAATCGAATTAGTATACTCAAATATAGAGAGAATAATGAAAGAATATAAGAAATGTTAGAATATAATATGAAGATACAGTTTGCCCCGGTGAATGGATCGGACTGGTCCAAGCTCCTAAAGCCCAAGTCCAAATGATCAAGCCCACCAGATAACCTGCAAGCAAGTTCAACAGGGAACGGGGTAGTCCCCCAGTGAACCCTCCGACGGGCAAGTTAGGAAGAGAAGTCCAGTATAGAGGGAGAGATTAGAGATAGAAAAACTTAACCTTCTTCTTGTCTTCAACGTTTGCTTATATCCTTTGGTAATCATTTCACTGTCCCTTCCGACTTGCCCTCATTGTCGAAAGCCTATGCGTAGCTTACCTTGTTCAGGGTAAGGGGGTCCTGTTCCGACGGGGAGGTGTTGTCGTAATAAATGCTGTGATGGGCTGTATTAATGGTGATGTGCAGTGGCAATAACTTTGCAGATCTTTGTCTGCTGATGTGTTAATGGTGATGTGCAGTGGCAATAACTTTGCAGATCTTTGTCTGCTGATGTGGCTCGTCCTTCTCTTGCCACGTGTCTGAATGTCATTGGCCCTTTATGCCATGTTAGACTCTAGCTGTCCTGGACCTCACCAGCTGGGTTATGCATTGGGCTCCAAGTGATGGGCTTGGATATTCCATGGGTGATTCGTGGCCTTCATGAGCTTATACACGTCAGTAGTCCCCCATTCCCGAATACAGCTTTAGTCCAACGAAGGGAACGTTAATGACGCAGATGAGTGTGTTAGGGATTGGCAGGATGGAGGTCGACCAGCAGGGGTGATTGAAGGGGTGAACCGAGCGGGAGGTGGTCTGACTGTGCAGGGCGACCGAGTGGAAGGGCCGAGCACGGAGAGGACCGACCGCAAGGTCGGCCGAGTGAAATGGTCGACACCAAGGAAGGCCGATCGCGAAGGGGGGGCCGGCCGCGGTGGTTGGCCGAGCGGGAGGGCCAACCGCGGTGTTGGCCGAGTGGGATGGTCGACAACAAGGAGGGCCGACCGCGAAGGGTGAGGTGGAGGGGCATGGGGCTCGAGACGCGGCGTGTCACGTGATGATTTGAAGTGGAAAAGACAGGGTAAGGGGAGGAGACAGTGGATCATGGTCGTACACGTGGCAACATCCCGTAGGGGGGAAAGATTAGGCGTTGGATCAGAAATAAAACGTTAAGTCATTATGGGTGTTGAAGAGACAGATTTGGCGGATGATTTTGAAAAGTTTTCAAACTGGCGAAAATTAATTGGGATCCTTGGAATACAGGCAAACCGTGGGCTTTTGGCATTATTCGATTCACCTAACTATTTACGAAAAATCAAAATATTCCAAGTGTGAATTCCTTTGTTGCTCACAATACACCTCTGCAACACTTTTTCGATTTCCTTATACCTGCTGCCGAAGCGATTTGCAAACATACCACAAAAATGGCCCAAGAAGGAAGTGCGATTGTCAGGGTGGACCCACTTGGAGATAATGATACGGTGGAGTTAGCGCGGCAATACAGGATGGAGAGGGTGGGGGAGTCGATTGTACGATCCCACGGTTCCACCATGATAGCAGCTCTAAGGCCAATCAACCAGGCAGAACCTGATCACTGGCACACAAAGGCAGATAAATCAACGGTCACTGCAGCGGATTTGGAGGCTATTCGTGAAAAATACCAGGTGCTTGCCGAAATAGAGTTGTCGTTGCCGACGTCGACGGAGAGACCATCCGATGCCAGGCTAGGGCAGTTTGCCCTTTATGAGGAGGCATTGAAAGGAGGACTGAGGCTGCCCCTGCCGCAGGTGGTAGTAGATGTCTTAAATCGCTTGGAGATGGCGCCGGGCCAACTAATGCCCAACGCGTGGAAGATCTTGCTGTCCTGTGCAAGTGCCTGGCCGAAGGCGAACGAAGGGGCGGCCATGACAGTGGACGAATTCTTCGCGTGCTACAAGGCCTCAGGGCAACAAGAGACTTGGGTCACGCTGCAGGCAGCAGCAAGGAAAGTGCTGGTGGCGGGTCTGCCATCGTCGATCAAGGGATAGAGACCACGGTGGTTCTATGTCTCCGCCAGTGGAAGAGTTGGAGTGCTCACCATTTGGAAGGTGCCCACCAAGACGATAGAGCCAAAGTTGGGGGCAGTAGTAGAGGAGAGGGTGAAGAGGGTGAAGGAGTGGAGGAAGAAAGAAAGGACCAAATGGGACGAGCTCGTCCAGCCGTCTGCATTGTTTGAGGCAGGGTTGGGTCCACAGCCGAGCGGTGGGGACCTCGACCGAGCGGAGTTGGAAGTGAGGAGGAGAGTTCAAGAGGTGGACGATCAGACCATCCTTGCGAAAGCCCAAAAATTCAAAGAGTCCTAGGCAGACCGACCACCAAAATCGATTGCAAGGGAGAGGATTCGACCTCGCCCCAAACCCTTGGGAGAGAAGGACTTAGGCGAATTTGTGCCGTGACCGCCCCCAATAGACCCTTTGAAGGAGAGGTCTTTGAAGGAGATAGAAGCGTTGGGTGTGGTGAAGAAGAAGAAGAAGAGGGTGAGGCAGAGTGAAGAAGAGCCTGCCCCGAAGAGGAGGAGGGGGACGAGGGTAAAGGAGACCAGTGTGGCCAAGGAGGTAGAGGGGGGGAAGTGGAGGGAATCCCAGGAGGAGTGATTGCCTCAGAAGTGGTGGACATCGCCTCAGAGGGCATGGAGGTGGTACCAGTGGTGGCGGCGATCGCCGCAGGGGTTGCAAGGGCCGCCCCTGAAGGGCAAGTGGAAGATGAGACAACTGGCCCTGGGTCGAGGAGGGAAAAACAGCCCCAGGGGGGCCCTGCACCTCAAGGATGGGGGGTCAGTCTGACCGCAGCGATTTACCATGCTCGTGCGGTGGCGGGGCAGCTGGAGGGAGAAGAAGGCCCAGCCAGGGCAGGGGCAGACCGATTGGTAGGGATTGTAGAAGAGGCAGCCTTGCGCTCGGCGTCTAGATTCAACAAAGCTGAACTGCTAAGGGGGTTATGCTCTACTCAAATGGAGGTAACCACCTTAGCAGGGGCGCTGCTGAGGAAAGCGGGGGCTACCAAACTCAAGGCAGACGAGGCCAAGGCTCAACTTGCAAAGTTGAAGAAGAAGAGTGAAAGTTGGGAGAGTGCCCACGCTGATCTGCAAGCGGTTAGAGTGGAGCTGGAGGACACACGCCGCCAGGTTGTGTCGCTCGAGTTCCAA